GAAACCGTAATTACGGTGTGATTTAAAATTTAAAATCGCACGTCGTTCCACATTAGGAACCTCATCAAACCAAGTAAGCTCCGTAGATATTCTCTACTGAAACACATTTAAAAGACTCCGTCTCGATCCAGATGACTTAAATTCCTTCAAGGTATCATTAGTTGGATTCTCTAGAGAGAAAATACAAGTAAAACGTTACATATGATGTTAAGAATCACCTTTGGGGTGCAGCAATAGGCCAAAGAGATTATTAACGCCCCTTTTCTTACAATATGATTATAGGACGTCCAACCTTTAACCAGTAAGACATGGTTTTGTTCAATATGATTGTATGAATGATTATATGATTGCAAGATCCTATTCTTTTTAGATTTATAAATGTACATATATCTAGCCTAAAAGAATTAATAGTGATAAAAATATAAAATTGTTAATCTAGGAAGCTCTATCCAATAGCATAGAACTAAAAATTTAAATTTAAATTACATATAAAAGTCAATATCCAATACAAAATTTATAGAGCATAAAGGACAAAATAAAACATAGTTCTTACTGTTTCAAATGTAATCAAATGAAGCCCTAATCAATCAAATATAAGTTTACAGTCTCTTTGGACAAATAGATAATTTATGTATATTTTATTCTTTGTGTTTATGCTTATGGAAGAGGAGCAGTCAATTGTCATGGTACTTAATACTTTTGAGTTCCTCATAATGTATTCTACAAAGTTAAGCTCACACTTTGTGCCTCTACAATGTCTAAGCAAACAAGTTTTGATATGAGTGAGAGTGTTACAATTGTGTATGTTTGAAAGAAATTTCATCTTTAAAGGTGAATACAAGAGGTCAAGTTCTATGGTTTTGCTTTATTCAATGACAAAAACCCTAATTCATCTAGGGTTCTATTTCTAAAACAACTTAATTTATTATTATTATTATTATTATTATTATTATTATTATTATTATTATTATTATATTTATAAATGTTCTAACTAGGGTTTCGGACAATGGAGTTTACTTTTTCTTACCCAACAGCTTAATTTATTCAAAGAATATTTAGTAAGAAAAGTTCTATAATATCTTAATTAAAATAATAAATATATAAATTTAAGATAAATAAGTTACAATCTTAAATTTAGATTTGTCTCATTTAATATTTTAAAGAGTTTAAAGATAATTACACATACAACCAATCAAAAAAATTTATATTTATTATATTATTTCAGTATTTTAAAAATAAAAATATATTTTATTGTGATACATGTCTTTTGACCGTGTAAAAATATTTTATAATATTCATGTACTTCTTTTTTTTCTATTTTAATAATCAGCAATATTTTATATTTTTTTTCACTTTATTCATTAACATAAATAATTCGAAAATATTTATATCAACTTCAATTTTGAAAAACTTAGATTTGTTGATGTTATAGTCACGAGAACCAATAAGATTCTATAACCAATTGATACATTTGGGTAACAACTTATAAGTTTGACAAATTTAAGAATATCATTGACAAACATCGTTTCATTTGATAAAATTAATTGTAACATTCTTAATTTAGAGAAAAGGTATTCTATATCAAAATCTGATAAATTGCCTGAAAAAGGTGAGTGAAATTTTACACAACAATCACAATGATCGGTATTGCACGGCCCAAACGCAACCGTATCCACGGCTGCAATTGCAATTTAAATCCATAAAACTGACGACATCAATGATAATATTTCAGATTAATAATGAAGTCAAATCATCTATAAAACATACCTTGTGAATAATAAGATGTTGAAGGTTGGGACTCTGTTGAAGCATTTGCAGTATCCAATTCCACTTGCCAAACCAAGTTTTTTCAAAGTTAAAAACTAGCTCCATTAGAATTAGATTGTAAAAGAAAGAGACTTGGCAAATGCTGAGCAGCGGTATCTTCATGAATTACAACACAAAACATTAGAAACCAATTACTTTTATGATTTATAAAATTTAAAGTAAAAAAAAAAAAATTTAGGTTACACCGCGATTATCATAATCAGTGTTGTAATACATGTATTTGTTAGTTGGTTAATTCTTATTATGTATTTGAGCTTTTAGCATGTGTATTTGAACCTGGGCATTTTGCCTATATAAAGGGTCACTATATTTGTAATCATAGTGAAGAAATAATAATTCAGTTAGAAAGTTTGTTACACTTAACTAACTCACAATCTCTCTCTCTTTTCTTCTTCTTCTTGTTTTCACAAAATCATCTTTCTTGAATCCTTTGTTTCAACAATTTGGTATCAGAGCTTGTTTGCAATTCAGAGAGAATCTAATGGCAAACAGATCAACAACATCAACACAGTTTCCAGCGAATCTATCAGTTTTCAACGGTGGGTTGCGCAAATGAAGGTTATTTTCAGATTTCAAGATGTCGTGGAAATCTTAAATGATGGAATATCAGAACTAGAAGTAGATGCTACGGAAGTCCAGAAAGCTGTGCATAAAGATCAGAGAAAGAAAGATGGCAAGGAGTTATTCTTGATTCACCAGTGTGTGGATTGTGACATATTCGAGAAGATAATTGAAGAAGAAACAACAAAAGGAGTTTGGGAAAAGCTGAAATCTTTGTATGGTGGAGATGAGAAACTAAAGAAGGTGAAGTTGCAGACATTGAGGAAGTAGTATGAGATGCTTCAGATGAAAGAGGATGAATTTATTTCTACATATTTCTCAAGAGTTATGACGCTAAGTTACTCCTTAACATTAATATTCTACTTTACTTCATGTGTTTTCATTAGGGGTGGTAAAATGGATGGATTGGATGAGTATGAATTGGATTAATAATGGATGGATCAAAACAATCCATTAATCCATTAATCCATTAACAACTAAAACTTCCTTAAAAATATCCAATTCAATCCATCCATTAAGAATAAAATCCATCAAATTCATCCATTAAAAACATTTTAATAGATTGATATATATCCATCCAAAAAAATTAATTTAAATATATCCATTTATTTTTTTTAAACATACTTTGTATTTTCGAATAAACTCGATTTTTTTGTATTTTCGAAAAAACTCAATATTTGATTTTCGACAAAAAAAATCGATTTTTCGATTTTTCAAAAAAACTCAACTTTTACGTATTTCCGGATTTTTTTTTTGATTTTCTAAAAAAACTCGATTTTTCGATTGTCTAAAAAACCTCAATTTATTAATTTTCCGAAAAAAACTCGATTTTTTCGATTATCTAGAAAAAATACGGTTTTCCAAAAAAACTCGACTGTTTGTTTTTCAATTATAAAACTCAATTTTCTAAAGAAAAAAACTCGATTTTTTTAATTTCTGAAAAAACTCGATTTTTTTATTATCCGAAAAATCTCGACTTTTAGATTTACCGAAAAAGCACGACTTTTTGATTTTCCGAAAAAACTCGATATTTCGATTTTCCATTAAAAAACTCGATTTTTTTTATTTTTAGAAAAAAAAACTCGGTTTTAGGAAAACACGATTTTTTGATTTTTTGAAAAACTCGTTTTTTTGAAAAAACTCGATTTTCAATTTTTCGATAAAACTCAATTTTTTCGGTTTCCCGAGAAAATTCGATTTTTCGAATTTCCAAAAAACCTCTATTCATCGATTTTCCGAAAAAACTCAATTTTTTCGATTTTTCTAAAAAACTCGATTTTCCAAAAAACTTGATTTTCCGAAAAAGCTCGATTTTTTAATTTTCCCAAAAAATTCGTTTTTTTCAATTTTCGCAAAAAGTTGATTTTTCGATTTTCCAAAAACAAACTCGTTTTTTTCGATTTTTTGTAAAAACTAGATTTTTCAATTTTCTGAAAAAACTCAATCTTCCAAAAAAAACTCGATATTTTTATTTTATTAAAGACTCGATTTTTTAAAATTCTGAATAATATAGTTTTCTTTATTTTCAAAAAAAATTAAGTTTTTATTAATTTAAAAAAAATATAGATTTATTGAATTTAAATAATAAAATAAAAATAATCAATTAGATCATCAAAATGTGGTGGATGAGTTGGATTTATCCATCCATGTATATAAATGGATGGATTTAATCCAATCAATTAACTTACTTTTTATTTAGTAGATGGATTGGATAGATTTTTTAGTTGATGAATTTGATAGATTGTCTTAATGAATTTAATTGTTACCCCTAGTTTTCACTCCTTATCACTTATTAATTTTCATATTTTTATTTGTGAATGTGAATTAATGTTTTGTTTATATATTTTGATTTGTCAGTGTGAATCATTGTTTTGTTTAGGTTGTGGGCGGTGAGACTATCACAAAGAATGGACACCATTGGATCGACCTTAATATTTCAGCCTTAATGCTTAGTATCTTTACCCTTTACTCTATTTCATTCCCAACTAATTTTGGTTTTTAATAATTCTAAAAATGTAATCGTTAACTTAAAATATTGCATTAGAGCATGAGGTTGAGGGCGAACTTTTACTTTGTGACATGAGTCAGGTAAACTTATAATATAATTTCAACATTATTATACGATCATAATATTTTTTGTTTTTGTGGCTGTTGTTGTTCATGTCATCTTAGACTTGTATGGATAATTAGTTTGATTAGGGATTTGTTTGGATGAATGCATATGGTAGAATGATGTAGTATGTATGAGATGGCATTTTTAATAAAAGGAAATAAGGAAATTAGTAAGTTAGTGTAAGAGGATGTGAGTAATATATTTATTATCACTACTATAATAAATAAAAAAAACATCTATTTTAGTAGCATGTTTTATTTTTGTGTTGATTTATTAAGGCAATTGTTGCCTAAATCTAAGGCATGTTTGAACAAGTATATCGGTGAATTTGAGAACAAGAATGCTATAACAACCTCATATTTCGGAACAACCTTTTTTTTGGCATTGATTTCTTGATAATGTTTTTAGTTATTATTTCTTAATTTGTCTTCTCTTTTCTCTCCCACATTTTTTCCATAACAACATTCTAAGTATCATTGCTTGAAAGCTAGAAGAAAATATGGCAAGTCCTCCTCAAAATTCCGACGAAACATTTCCATCTGCCGATCTTGCTGGAGAATTGAATCCTGGGAAAAATAGGGAGGTTCAAGTTGATCCTATATCTTCTGAGGTTGCTGCCACCAAGGAAATGGAGGTACTTACATATTTCCATTTTTTCTATATAGCACCAATATTTCATATTAAATGTGTGTCTAGACGACGATGAAATTACGTTACATGTTTGAATAACTAATATATATCTTCCTTTGTGGTGCAATAAATTGAACCATTTTATTCTTAATAATTGAAGGAGGAAGATGCAGCCAAAGAGAAGAAAAAGGAAATAGAAAAGAAGGAATGTTTGGATAAATTAAAATCGGCCATTATAATTTCAGGCATAGTTGTGGCTGTGGTGGGAGCAGCATTTGCAATAACTAAGAAATTAAAAGAGAAGTGATTCCACATTAAAAAGAGGATTGAGAATATTAGAAGATTTATAGATAATAATATTTATATTTGTTTTCATATCAAGTTTCTTTCTTTTTGTATGAATTGAATTAGTTGTTACACCTAATACGTATTTTTGAGATGGCTACATATACATTTTTCAAAATGTAAGTGCAATGGTTGATATATCTGAGTGTAGAGTTACAAATTTATACTATGTTTGTCTGAGTGTAAACAAAAATGTAAGTGCAATGGTTGATATATCTGAGTGTAGAGTTACAAATTTATACTATGTTTGTCTGAGTGTAAAGAACTATTTTCTATTTTTCCTAAAAACCATTGCCACCATGTCACCTTTATTTTGTGCATATTATTGAAGATCTGATTGTTCCTAGCATTCCACAAAGATCATATGATTACGTTTCAAATTAACATCGACCCATAATGTAACCTAAAGATCATATGTTTTAAAGCAGTCAGGTTCTTTCACCTATGTTGAAACACAATTTTTTAAGACATTTGCATGACATTCAAATTAAATATAAAATAAAATATCACATTTTTTTACATAAATAAAATTAGACACTTGTTATTAGAATCATAAGTTGTTTCAATCTGGAACCAGAAATAGGTGGAGATCGAATGGAACGAAGTTCTAGTATGGTGGAGTGAACTTCCAATGTGGTGGAGTGGAGGTGGACTTGCAAGATTATCACACTAACACTCAAGTCAGCGAATGAGTGAGAAAGTAGTTTGGGGTGTGAATTAGAGAATTCTTAAAATGGCGCGTATTTAATATGTGAGTGATTAATACAGTTTTCGTGAGATCCGACACCCCGTACGGACTGCCTTCTATTAGATACAATGGTGGAAAATGTATTAGAGGTTGTAGTCATGTGTAATCGACTGAGGTGAGGTCTCATTTGTTCTGCACATTTTTTTGTGTGATGCTTTGTATTGGGTATTCATTGTGGGTCTTGCGAGTGGCCTAAAACAGTTTCCCTCTAAATATTTGTTTCTACTCGTAGAACGAGGACTTTTCATTTGTGTCTTCGATCAAAATTCTAGCAGAAGAAAATGGAAATTCTTTGATGGGAGATTAATCACATTAGGAACGGGCGCTTTAAACATCTCACATGTTGAAAGTGTTACTATCAGATTCTTTTTAGAAATCCAAGTAAATACGGTATTTTCCATGAAGAACACATATCCAGAAGTACTTTTTCGATCGTCTATATCTCTGTATCAATCACTGTCAGAGTAACCAACTAACTTATAGTATTCTGTTCTTGAATAAAATATTTTGCATGACATTATTCCTTGGATGTACCTTAGGATTCATTTCAATGCCTTCCAATGTGAATATACTGGCTCCTCCATGATTCAACTTACAATGCCGACACTTAATGAAATGTATGGCCTTGTACATGTGAGATAGCGAAGACTACCTACCAAGCTTCGATATTTTCTTACTTCGACACGTTCTCCTTCATCAAATTTTGACAACTTTGCGCCTGGTTTCATTGGCATCGAAGTTGGATTACAGTTGTTCATCTTATATTTTTTCAAGATTTCTTTTGCATATTTTTCTTGTGAAATAAAGATTCATGTTTCTTCTTGTCGAACCTCCAGACCTAAAAAGAATCTCATCATATCTAAGTTTGTCATTTCGAATTCACGTGTCATTGTACTCTTGAATTCTTTTATCATTTGATCATCACTGCCTAGAAAAATAAGGTCATCGACATAGAGAGCAACAAGTAATACATTACTTCCATTTTTAGAAGTCAACAATTGACATAATGAGCCAATGTAAAATTTCCATCATTTGGATTAAAACCAAACAACCAAAGGTAATAAACCTCTTAAAAATACCAAGCTTCAATTGTATTAAGTCTTCACAAAAATTGGGCAGAGTAACGGTTGTATACAGATGAATTCCCGATCACAGACAAAGCATGTAATCACAATAACCTGCACATAAAGCAATCATACAACCCAATGTCTTGGGGTAAACCCCAAGAATTCCAGACAACATAACAGTTGAAGTCACAAGGTTCCAAAGGTGGTCAAGGTCTCTAGTCCTAAGTCCAAGAAATCCATAACTCTAAAATGAAAAGGATAGTAACCATGCAGTCCAAGTAGAATTGAAGTTTTGTATGGTTCAAGTTGATTATTAAGTATCTTCAAAAAGAAAATAAAAAGCTCAAATGAGAAGAAAAAAATGACATAAAAAAAAACGCTCAAATGAACAAAGATGAAAATCGCATGAAATGTAAATGCTAAAATAAATGTGCTTAAAGTAAAAAAAAAAACATAAAGTAAAAGTATAAAATAAAGTCAATTGTTAGAAATTAGTGGTTAGTTGAATGAACATCTTGAAACTTGCATTTGAAACTCATTAGAAGATTGATAAAATCAAAGCCTATCAACAATAAGTTTCATTTGCTTTTTGTCAAGTTTATCATTCCATTAAAATTCCCAAGGCAACAATAAATGATCAATGATGTTTAAGTGATTCACTTTGACCAAAGTTTATGAAGATTTATTAGAGGATTTATAAGACCAAAGCCTCTTAACAATAAATCTCAAGATTATTGGATCGAAGGATTCAAATTAACATACTTCGACTTGCAAACATAAGTTTGGGCCACGAATGATTATTTTTTGAATCGGAACAAAATTTAGCGCTATGTCAAGAAATCGTAAGTGGACTTATATAGAAGTCGCACCTATTTTGAGGCCGATCAATAAAGTCTATGCATCCATACGATCTTCGAAAATTAAATTGGATCAAAATTCGAAATCATAATGCAATAAAGAAAATAAGCAACACTATTTAATTTAAATTTATTTACAAAATCACAAAACCAAAATATAAAAGGAAAGAAAGGAGGTGTAGAAACAATAAAGGAGGTGTCAAGAAAAATGGGTTTGGAAAGAGGCCCAATGTCAAAAATTCATATAATAAATTATAGTTTCTATTTAAAATCTTCATTTAATACTTAACAAAATCAAAATAATACTAAACTAGTATTATATATACATATATATTTAAACAAACAAAAGAAAAGAAAAGCAAGAAAAAAAGTTTAATGTAGAAACAGAGGCAGTACGGTTGAGAGAATTTCGCGGATGGAGATCGGAGATGAAAATGGAAGTGATGGATGTGGTGCGGAAGTTCAACAGAAACGGTGATGATGAATCGTTGATGGTGTTGTTACAACTTGGAATTTGAAGGGAGAAGGGAGTGTGTATTCAAGGCGGATGATGATGAGATGGGAAGATTGGATTCAGTGAGTTACAAAAGTGACGGTGGATTTACGTGATGTTGATGATACGACATGACGAAGAAAGGACTATGGTGTTTGAACAGAGGAAGGTTTGCGGATAATTGATGAGGATGATGATTGTGGTTCGGTAGCAGTAGGAGGATGATGTTGTGTGTTGGGCGGTAATTAAAGGGAGATGAAGGGGGTTTGTGTGTAGATTGAAGAGAGGAGAAACGGTGGCTAGCGGAATTGAATGATAAGATGGGAATTGATGAGAGGAAATTGAGAAGGAGATTGAGATTGAAATGGAAATTGAAGGGAGATTGTTGAGTGATGTTCGTTTCTGCGTTTTCTGCTCTGTCTTGTTGTTTTTTCAATTCCAAAAGTCCCTGATACAAATCTCAAGTCTCTCTTTTATACACAAAATTATTGGTTTGTTAGTTTTTACAATGGCCAAAATGATCCTCAATGATAAAATCAACTCAACAATCTGAAAATACAAAATTTAACTCAATTTAAAATATTTTTTTGAATTTTTCTGAATAAAAAATAGAGACCCAAAAATGACTAAAAACAATTAAAAAATAGACAAAAATATATCCGAAAAAATGAAATAAACACATTAAAATAAACTACATGTCTCAAAGATTAATGAAAAAATATTCAAATGGTCAAAATCAAAATAAAATAAGAATAAAAATATCTTGCTGAACAAACGCTTACGATTAAAAATGAGACTCAAAATTATACCGAAAAAATAAAGCGAGCAAACCGTCATGATCTACGCGAAACGCGGATTCATAAAATGATCAGTAAAAGGTGAAAACTTGAAATATTTTCTCGCTAATTTTCTACACCGTATCGAATCGCTTTTAATAGTCTGTCTGTAAAACCAAAATATTAATATTGTGGACATATAAACAACTTAGAGCAATGCAAGAAACGAGTAAAGAGATAAAAATACATGAAGTGAAATATCATGTATTTTTCAACTAAACAATGATGCAAACTTCGATTTAAACTGACTTTTGGTCAACTTAAATACGACTAATGATGCAAAATATGATGAATGAAGATATCTATTAATGGTTGTGACCAAATAACAAAATATACGAAAGTGAGACTAAAAAAATTAGTGGCAAAACTTAGGGTGCAACAGTGAGCTAAATAAATTTTGAGCCTTATATCTTTTGTTTCTTAAACCACGAACCATGGCCACGTTATAACCTTTAAAAGTCCTAATTGAAGCTAGGTTCACTATGAAAGCATAATCAGTAAAACTTATGTTAAATTGACTCCTATGTTTGTTGAAATTATTAATTACTTCGCTTCTTCGAATATCTATTCCTAATCATCCATTTCTTTTTAATAATCAAACTTCGATTCCAAGAACTTGCATGTGTAACACATTAGAATTACTTTTGTAAAATGTACAATTTTATCTACGAATCAATACTTAGCATCAAGAAGATTTCAAAAAGGTCTGATCAAAGGCAGTATTTCCAAGAAGCTTCTAACTAGGGGCAAACCATCTAAGAGGATCCCTATAGACAAGAGAAATACTATTGATCATATGGGTATATCACATGAAGATCCTATTGACTAGGGACAATCATTATGAGTTTCAATCAACTTGGATCATATTTCAAAGCACCAATCAGGGGCATACCTTTCGAAGTGGCATTCCTTGGTCAAGTCATATTACAACAGGGTGTGACTCAGACTCTTTATTTTAACG